TTGGCAGTCTTATGCATTTTGCAGTAGCTACAAGACCAGATATAGCTTTTGCTGTATCTAACGTAAGTCGATATCTTGAGAAGCCAGCAACAGCGCACATTAATGCAGTCTAAAGAATAATCAAATATTTAAATGGCACGACTGGCATAGGAATCTGCTACCAGAGTAACAGCAAACTTAATCTGCGTGGTTACAGTGATGCTGACTATGCAGGTGATGTGCAAACTCGGTTTCTCAGGTTTCCTTTTTATGGTAGATAAAGGTATAATAAGCTGGTGTTCTGAGCGTCAGAAGTGCGTTTCTTTATCAACAACTGAAGCAGAATATATTGCAGCAGCTAGCGCAGCAAAGGAATTAATTTGGGTCAAGCGTTTTTGGTCTGATCTTGGGAATCCTGGGCAGATAGAGTTCTGCATTGATAACCAAAGTGCAATTCGTCTAGTAAAAAATCCTGAATTTCACAAAAGGACAAAACACATTGATGTACGTTATCATTTCATTAGAAATGCATACAATGAAAAGGCTTTCGAATTAAAATATGTGGCATCTGGTGATCAGCTTGCAGACGGGCTTACTAAAGCACTTCCGAAAGAAAAATTTGTATTTCTTAGAAATCAGATTGGTTTAAAACAACTCTCTAGTATCCTAATGTAACTAAAAAGTGGGAGTATTGAAAAAAAGTAATGTTTATTTTAATTACATTGGTAACCCCTCTTTTATAGTTTAACTACTGTAACTATTTCTCTCTGCAATTTATTTTATTTATTTATTTTATTTATTTATTTAAATAAACTTTTTTAAACTCAACACTTATAAAAATATTGATGAAATAGTAAATAGATCAAGAACTACCATTCATTATATTATAAAAAAAGTGAAAAGAAACAAAATTGGTCGAAAACAATCAAAGATCCGGTCGATTCAACGCACTTTCTAAAGCGTATGAGCGGTGGTTAGTACGCCTAATTCAAAAAAAATCCCAATATAAATGCCACAATTTTTTGTAATAACGTTCTGGAATATTTGAGAAAAGAGGTCTCACAACAAACTATTCGAAATTCACTTAAAATTTCTGGTCATAGAGGAAGAACTGCATGTAAGAAACCATTTGTAAACAAAATCCACAGAATCAAAAGGCTACAATTTGCAAAAACTTATTCAAAAGAGCCAGAATCGTTTCAGTGTAGTGAAATGTTTGCTGATGAGAGCAAATTCAATCTTTTTGGATGCGATGGCAAGATATTTGTGTATAGAAAGCAAAATACGGAGCTACTGTTAAACATGGTGTTAATGTTGTTATAATTTAGGGATGTATGGCGGCATCTGGTATGGTAAATATCGAAGTAATAAGTGGTTCACTTCTTCACTTGTGGTCCACTTCAAGTTATATATCGATATATTAAAGAAGAACTTGAGGAAAAATACAGAAAAACTGGCCACTGCGAATGATTTTCAGTTCGATCAGGATAATGATACAAAGTTCTGCGTTAAACTCTAAGCTTTGGTTATTATATAACTTTCCAAAAGTGATGAAAACACATCCGCAAAGTCTAGACTTAAACCCAATAGGGTCATTTGGAGTCCAAATTAAGAAAACACAGCTTTTCAAACAAGCAACAAATGCAACAGATAAATTAGACAGCAAAATTAGTCCAATTAATGCCAAACCATTTAGAAAAGGTAATAAAACATTAACAACGCATAACGAAATATTCGATTTTAGTTATTGTTATCAAAATTGCAGTCTGTTGTCTAAATGTCGAATACTTTTTTTTCTTTATTTTTGGTGTTATGCAATATTATATTATTTTTTTGTTATTTTATATGTAAATTTTTTGAGTAAAATCAATAAAAACCAATAACCAGAATACAACAGTTGTTTTTTGTTTCTTTCTGTTGTTATTACAATATTTAACAAAAATGTAGTTAACGTCGAATACTTTTTTTGATCGCTGTATATTTTATAAATATCAGGTCACATTATAAATTGGCTGAGGTGAGCATTGGTTAGTAGTGGAAGGTCATTGTTAACTTCTTGGGCACGTAAATTTCTTTTGTTTTTAATTGATTTTTGCTGCAGTTGCTGCATATTTGTGCGCTTGTTTGTTGTATTAATGCTATATAGGCTAGAGTAATGAGATCCTTCGTAAAAAACAAGCATTGAGAAAAAAGCATACCGAGAAATCAGGTATGTCTGTTTTTTCAACAATTAATTGGGTTTGTACTCATGTGTGGTTCTTTAATTGATATCATATGGTTTAATAAAAAATCTTAGGCTGGAGGTAAAAGGAACTACTTTTTTTTAGCTTTCAGCTGCCTGCTTTCAGTCTGCTATCTGTGGTTTTTTAATTAGTTCTTTATATTATAGACTTGGTAACCAGCAAGCTTTATTTCTGATTTTTTTTTCCTGAGATATCTATATTTTGCACAGAACTCAATATTTTTTGTTTAGCTTTTTAATTGATATCTGTAGAAAATTTATGAGTGTTTAACCAAGGGCATCGAACCGGAATTTAATCCGTCCCGGTTTTCGTTCCGGTTTAAGACAAAAAAATATGTCGGTTTGGTTCCGGTTTTTTGTTCCAGCAAAAATATCGCTTTTCGGTTCGGTTCCGTGTCAATATATTTCATGTATTTGTATGCAGTTTTTTTTCCCCATAATTAAAATACTTATTCGTTTTTTTAGAAAGCATAGTTAATAAATACATTTATTTACCAACAAAATTTCTGCTTATATAAATAACGATATATTTTTGAGCTTCTTGCTCAAAATTGCATAAGTAATTTTTAATGTAAATGAAATGAAACTTAAAAATAACATTCACGATTGAAAAGTGTATAAAAAGCTTTGGCTACTAAACCTGAAAAAAATGTTCAATTATCGACTATTTTATTATAAGTATATGTTCCTGTTAACAAATTATGTCCTATTTCGGTTCAACAGTGTTGCATTTTAGTTCTAAATTAAGTTATTTAGTTAACATATGTTTCATGCTGTAACGAACCTTTTTCGTCGAGGTTTCGCTCGCCGGATTCCAGGTTCAGTCCTACAATAAATTTATTTGTTAGGGACAGTTGAAAGTTTTGTATACGACGAGGGCGGCGGTTTTGCTACAGAAATGTAGTTTCCTTGATGTTCGTGTTAGAAATGTGAATTTCTAACGCTCTTGCAAACGCTCTGTTGAAGAAATGTGAATTTCTTCGCAATGTAATTGATTTTGCGTTAAAGATGTGAATTTCTTACGCACTTGAAATCGTTGGTTGAAAAAAAATGTAAATTTCTTTCTTACTTTGAACAGCCCTTATACCACGGTGTGATCGTCAGCTCGCTGTGGTGCTGACTCTCCTCTTAACGAAATGTTGATTTCGTTTTATATAAATAAGTAACAGAAATGTATATTTCTATTACAACAAAACCAAATGAGACATTGCTATAATGTAAATTTCTATTCTATGGAGTTCGTAACATAATGTTGATTTCGTTTAAATAAATAAGTAATAGAAATGTATATATCTATTAGTACAAAATCAAATAAGAATAGCAATTTCTATCCTTGTTGTTTCAGCACAGATGTCTTGAGCGACCTGTTTTCTAGCTCGTTGTCTTGCTCTTGATTGCGCTTTTTGCTTCGTCTTTTATACCCGAGAAGTGCGATGTATGCTAGTGTTTTGTTCTTGTGACTGCAACGGTGTTTTGTTTGCAAGTTTTATTATTGTTTTGTTATATATTTTTTGTATTAAATTTAGTGGTGGGCTTTAATACTTGTTTTATTATTTTTGTTATTGTTTTATTCTTATTATTGTTTTATGTTGTGACGTAAAATTTAGTAGCTATAAATATTATGTACCAGTGCAAATATTTCTTATTTTACGAATAATTTGACAATTTAAAGTATATTTCAGAAAAATAAATAAATAAAAAAGAACAACTGAAGAAACAGATGGACAGATACCAAACTATATGGTGCTGAACCGAAATAAACTGATTTATTTTTTTTCGGTGCAGTTCCAGTTTTCTTTCCAGCAAAAATATAGTTTTCTTCCGGTTTTCGGTTCGATGCCCTGGTTCAACCAAGAACTTATTAACAATGCGATAATTAATATTGTATTTGAATTTTTTAAATTTTTCCTTACTTGAAAAAAAAGCAAATTTTGTGTTTATACTAGAAAGCATCGTTTTTTGCTAACTGATATTTAAACTAGAGTTTCTAAAAATAAAAGATTGCATAGTTGTTCTAAACCATGTCTAACCAAGACAGCTGCTAAGTATTATCCTTTTGCGTTTTGTTTTTCCTTTATATATTGAGCATTTGTCCAAATACTGTATGTTCAATAGAGATTTTCTAAAGTCAGATATATTCATTTCTGTTTCTTTATAAAGAATTTGCGGTTCTTCAGAATCAAGCAACACGTGCTTAAGTAGGTGCTCTAATAAGTACTTGGCGTTCAATGCTCAAATTACTTGCGACTAATATAATTCAAAAATTTGTTTTTTTTTTGTGTTTAATAAATTTCTAAAGTTTTGGAAAGTTGTAAAAAGATTAAAACCAATCAAGTTATACTGGGAGAAGTCCCAACTGGTTAGTATGGTATGCGCTCCGTAACACTGTGCACATGATTGATTCTCTATTACTTGCAGGTTCGCTTCTGTGCCTGTTTTTTGTATGCAAGCTCTTGTATGTTGTTGTTGAGTTATTACAGAAGTTCATTTATTATTCTAGGTGTGTTTTGTTACTAATTTATGTTGACTAAATATTTTGTTGTTGTTTTTTCTAAATAACGTGTTTTTTTCTTTTTTTTCAATGCAAACTATTGGTTTTAAATTATGAGTTAAGTAAAATTAGTACATATTTATTTTAATTTTATTTTTAATTTTTATCTGCAAAAAAAGTATCTATGACAATCTCTTAGCATCCTTTACTTAGATTTTATAAGTATATCTTATTAATAAATTTATTTTAAATTGAAGAATTTAATGAAATTTTTTTTTTATCTTTCAGATATAACAAAAAGACTTTACGATTTAAAAAAACCTTTAATTGTTCTTAATTCATTACTCGGTGATGTCAATAAGAAAAACGATATAAATGTATGTGTTGCAGACATTAAAAGAGAACTATGTGACATGTTGTTATTATTCCAAAAATTGCAAGTACAATGTAAAGATAGTTTAGCCTATGAACAACTTATTGAAAGAGAGATTTTTGAAATGGAGAAGGCTATCGAAGAAGCGGCTATGAAGTTTGTGTTGATGTTAAAAAATTCAAAGTCAAATGATAATGGAATTAAATTGGAAGTCAATGAAAAAATTTTGGATGCTTGCGCAAATTTAATGAAATGCATTAAAGAACTAATTCATAATTCTAAAATTTTGCAGGACGAAATTTTATCAACTGGATGTGGTATGTAAATATATAAAGTAATATATATACAAATAAAGGTTTTTCAATAAAAAAAAACTAGTAAGTTTTTCAGAAACAACAAATGTATAGTAAGAAACGTGACAAAATTGCACACATATAATCAGCTACATAGCTGTTTTGCATTTTGTAAGAAATTAAAATTATGGCATTGATATAAATATTAGAATGTTCAATTACAACTATGTGGGAACTACAAGTGGGAAACAGAGTTTTTTTATAATGTTTTACACAGTAAAATCTTATCCAAAATCCTAATTAATAATAATAATATTATTAATGTAATTTTTTCGTTATATACGATTTTATCAAAATTCGTCGATTACACGTTGAAAGATTCCTTTTCAGGGCTTTCGAGTATCTATTGCCTGGTCAATATACACCAGCTCCATCTGTGTATGTTATCATGTTTTTCTTACTATTTAGGTTTTAAGCTACCCTCCTCAATTCTTTTTGTTACCAAGCTTAGTTTTTTTTTGTGAAGTTATACTTAAGGAGGATGGTCGTTTGTTGGCATTTCAGTTTCTGGGATTTATTTAGCAAGAATATCCATGGTTTATGACCGAAATGTTTGCGTGCCCACGGCTCTAAAGCAACTTCCAAAACATTTTCCCCCGTAATAAGTCGCATTGAATTTGACACCATTCTCGATAAAAACAATTTTAGAGCATTCATCGGCGGCCACAACTGCTCATGCCATTACTTGAGATGAAAATTACTTCGACTGGCCTTTCATAGTCTAAAATTTTCGGCAGTGCGTTCAGTTAAGTTAACATAATCATTTTGAGAGTTTATGAACTGCTCAATTGGAAATTTTTCTGATCAGAGAACACAATAGGGGTATTCAGTCAACAGATTAGTTGCTTAGTAGATTAAATCATATAAATCATATCATATAAAAAAAAAATAACATTTTGATGATAATCTGTTGCGTGAACGACCCAAAATGCGCAATCTGATTATTTTGTTATTTGCAAATGCCTTGGCAGCACTCGCATCAACAGCAAAAGCGAAACATATGTTTACAGTGAAATACTCAAATATTCGTAAATTTTAATATCATTTAAATTTATTATTACATGTTAAAATTTATTCAATTTTTTTATTACATTACAACGTGTTAAGAAGTAGAATATTCAATTTTATACTTTATATTTTATATATATGTTATATTTTATCCCTTCAAAAATTATAGTTTTACTGAATTTCATCTATTAATTTATGTTATTATTTTTGCATTTTATTTTTGAGACACCCTATGATCATAGCGCCGATACTTGGCACTGGCAGCAGTAATAATCAAATTTTCACTAATCTGAGAATCTCCGAAATAAATTCTCTGCTTAGTTTCTTTTTTGTATGCACATTTTTGTTGTAATCATCTACTAAACAACTAATCAGTTGCCTGAATACCCATAATGTTTGGAAATTCGCCACGTTCGTGAAAGCGCAACAACTCAATTGCTGTTTCGGGTTTTGTTGCTTTGGTGTAATATCTTGTGCCTTTTAAAACTTTAGGCTGTACATTGAGCTCATTTTGAAATATGTGTCAGATGCTTCGATAGGATATTTTCAGTTCTTTGGTCATATGACTACCACTACGACGGGGATTTCGTTTAAGCTGAATTTCAAATGATGTTTCTGTTTAATTTTGTCCACCACTATAGCGTTTGGCGACGGTGCTTTTACTATTATAACGATTTATGATACGACACACAAACATTTTGTTCATTTTGAGGTGTTTGAGCTCGAACAATAGCTGGTTGTGATTTTCCAGCCAAATATAATGGAATAACACTATTACGTTTCAATTCTATTTCGAATAACTTTTGTTCTATAAAACTTAGACGCAAATGCTTATGGTAGCTTGTGAACAATATAAACAGCTATTAGTTGTATGAATTTTACGTACTTTACAATATCAGTTTGACAGATATACGTGTGTGTAGTTGCTATCCCTTGAATCGCCCATCCCTGTATTACTGACAATACCTAAATCCAACATATTAGCTTGGATTTCGGAAAATCCACTGAACTATTGACCAAGTTCACAAAGTTGGAAATTAAAATTAGTCTGCCATTGTAGCGTTTCGTAAGCATCAAGGTATGGCACTAGGGTGGCTCAAAAAAACAAAAAAAAGGAATATGACCAAGAAACTATATTCCCGAAGTTTTGAAGAAATAGGATTAAAAATGGCGTTGCGCCACTCGAGCAAAGTTGGGTTTTCAGTACAAAAAATGAAAATTTTGCAATTCAAGTTCATTTTATTCCTTTGTTATAACAAAAATTCTGGAGTATGAAATTTCTTACATTTTAATCTACAGGATATTTTTTGTGTAATACATTTAACCTTTTTGACGATAGAACGCATAGACTAAGATTGCTTAGCTGAATGATTGATAAAGTTATATAAATTATGGATTACAATATATACTACGAGATTTAAAGTGAAATATTTCCAAAAAATTATCATTTCAAGAAAATATTTTTTTTCAGTAATTGTGCTTATTATGCTTTATAACGTAAATGTGATTTGTTGTTTTTATGTTTTTATGATATGATAGTATGCGACTACTTGCTGCACATATTGTTTCACCTCTTCGTTTTTTGTCAGAGTTGAATTTAAATTCATCCTTATAAATTCATTCCTTATTCGTCTTTCTGCACAATTATTTACCACATGAAGTCTGAAACAGAACTTAAGTCCATCTCTGTAATCGTGTCTCTCCATCCTTGTCAAAGGTTCGAAACTAATAAAACTTTTCGATAGGCAAACACAATCGAAATTATTGTGTTTTCGGTCACAAAATCACTAAGATTCTTTGAGGAAATCGACTTCAACTCACTTATTGTGGGTTCAAAATTTTTAAGATCTAAAGGATCAAGTTTTTTGTTTTTTGATACGTATTTAAATGATAAACGAATAAGATTTCCATTCATTTTTGCTTTCGCCTTAACTGATGTAGTGTCATCCAAGAAAGCCATGATCTTGAGTTTTCAGTATTATGAATGATTGGTCATTTTCATCAAGCGTTCGAAATTTCTTTGTCAATGATTTACTTTAACTCCGATGAGTTGAATGTAAATTGATCTCTAAAAATCCATTCATCGAGAGTTTGAAGTGGCACCTGGCCGATGAAATTTAAAATTGCAGAAATTTTCGTTTAAAAATATCAATTCTAGATCCAAGAGCTCTTTATAATCATCGCGAGAGGGATATTTTTTCAAATACTCACCACTAAAATGTGTGACATCTTTGGAATTTTCCGCTTTGATATTTCTTTTGATGTATAAGTCTTAAATACCGCTTTCGAAATTATTTGTTTTAAATTTGCTTAAATCCCATGCATTCTGAAAGTCATCAAAAATTTTGACTTGTGGAGCCTATGATTTGCAAATTTCGCTTCGAATGACCTCATAAAATAATTTTACAATATGTTGTCGACATGCAAGTACAAAAATTCCCGTTCAAGTTTCTTCTCAATCTGCTGTAGTATCAGAGCACATGCCATCGACTTTCTTCAAAAGCGACCCACCAGTTTAAATTTTTATAAATTTTATTAGCAATTGCTTTTCCACTACCGTTGTCACATACAGATATACTACTAAATAATAAAAATATGTTGTTTGAAATGTACTTTCATATAAGATTCATCTTAAATCTTATCTGCTATTTTTTCATGATATGTCATGACCTAATGCATCAGCCACTGCGGCCAAAATATGTATAGCGTAGCAATCCAAAACCTTGCATTTGTCAAAGACGGAAGCTAACCTACGCGTGACTGTAGATTTAACTTCACTTTCGGAATAAATTTCTTCATCAAATTCATTCTAATTAAAATCAATGGAATTATAATCACTTTCAAGAAAGAAAATATACCTATTTATTAAATGTATGAAAAAGTTACAAGCGCTTGCTTATATAGTTTTTGCGTGCCGTTATAATTTTCTGATTTAATATGCTAAAGTTTTTTATGATCTTCTTCCTCTAGCCCCTCTTCCATCCTTAGCTAGAAGGATATCAACTCTAGTGATACTCCCTGGACCACCATTTTCTCTGTGGTTACAAAGAAATTCTTGTCTTGACTACATTTCCATATCTGCATAAATATGTACATAAATTTATAACTAGAATAACCTACTTATTAGGTAGGTAGGTAAAGAATATTTGCGATTGCGTTGTGCATGCCAGCTAAAAATTATAAAATGAAACACAGTCCACAGTTGTTTAACTAATTATTGTGTTTGTACATAATTTTTATCAGATCTTGCTCATCAATATCTTATTAAAAAGATATTTTAATTATCTATCAAATAAATATGTATTAATAATAGTTAAAATAAGTAACAAAGGAATTGTTATAACTATTAACAATTCAATTAAAGTTATAAACGAACTTCAATTGAACAGTTTTTGCATATAGACATGATAAAAACCATATTTCTTTACGATGAGGTAGCACCCTTGGATCAGTTCTGTATCTACTGTCTTTGTCCGATTGACCGCCTTTAAATCAATATATCACTGTTCATTTGCCGGATTCTCTTTTAGTAGTCGACGAAACAATTTAAAAGACAATGGCTGACCTGCAATCTGCTGTAAATTCTAGGTGACGTATTAAGCTTAACATGTAGTTTTTTGATTAAAAAAATACATTTTATTAGACAGTATATGTAAATTCCAGGAAATTTCTACATACTGATAAAGCGAAATACTTTGGTTTTACTCCGGAAACAAAGTAAAAAAATGTCGAAAAATTTGATGCGTAATGGCAAGCGACGAAATCGTCCGCTGATGCTTAAGACGTAATCGTCGGACGATACTTAAGACGTAATTTTAACATTGAAAATACTTTTCTTCTACAAAGGACTGTTCCACGTCGATGACTAAAACGTACAACAGTGGTAGACCCTCAAATTATCAATTACTATTTAATAATTTTTTCTGACAATATTTACAAAATTACGCGAAATAAAAATTGTATAACTTAAATTTGATTGATATTACTTATCATAAATATCATGTACATCAATTCAGGGATTTAGAAGAAATTTTTGAAAATTTTTTTGTTTGATGGAAACCTTAAATTATAAAGCTTAATATATATATGCATAGTATATATATTATTCATATTAAAAAAACAAGTTAAGAGGAAATTCGATGTAAAAAAAGTTGTGTGTGGTGACGATCTTAAATATTGATTAATGTTGTACCCTTTGTATGGTAGCTTTTTATAGAGTTGACATATAAAATTTATGTCGACAGATACAGCGGCTTAAGAGAAAGTTCGAATTATGACAATAAGAAAAAATTATTTCAGTATTTTCAATTTTCCGTTGTTCATGTAAATTTTCCAGTTATGCGCCGCTTCCAAGTGATGCGTATACCATAAAAAGCAGTTCAATCTTAGTATATAAATACCTAGTACAAGTATATTGATAAATAAATACTTTTATTTGATCTCTATTTTAATTTTAAATGTATCTTACTTTTAGGATCAATATCGGTTACTGAGTTTTATACACGTAATAGTCATTGGACGGATGGGTTAATTTCAGCATCAAAAAGCGTAGCAAAAGGAGCAAATTTACTTGTAGAAGCAGCAAATAAATCTCTTTCAACAGAAAATAATGACAATTTTGAAATAATTGTAGCTGCGCAAGAAATTGCTGCGTGTACTGCGCAGCTAGTGATTGCTAGCAAAGTAAAAGCTTCAAGAAGTAGTACAAAACTAAAAGATTTGACTAAAGCATCTCGTTACGTATCTGAAGCTACTGGATTTCTTGTAGCCACTGTTAAAGATGGTAATCATCGGTTAGAACAATTGGACGACATCGATTTAACTAAACTTACGGCTTCTCAAGCTAAAACAATGGAAATGGACATACAAGTGAAAGTACTGGAACTGGAACAAGCTTTACAATCAGAAAGAATAAAACTCTCATCATTCCGACGTAAATTTTATCATAGTTCTGATAGCATGTAAACATTTTATAAATTTTTAAAGTATGTATTAATTTTATGACCCGATGTAAATATATACTATACAAACTATAAGTTTTGAGATTGTTTTTTTATTTGCGAACAACACTAAACATACTTAGTTTCGTTGTGAATTTCGAAATTAACTTTAAAAAATGCGTAATAAATTAAAATAAACTCCAAAAGTGATCGTAGTTTGTCACCGAAAAATATACTTTTATTCATGCACAATATATTAATTTTAAAATATATTGAGTTGCATAAAACATTTTTTTTTTTCGCCTAAAATTTTTCTTTTCAGTTTTTTTTTCCAATTGTGAAGCACACCAACAGCTGATAGAGATAATATATACATAACTCAACGAAGAATATAACGAGCTGAGAAAAATGGAAAAGATTATACATAATCATCCCTGAATATTCTCAGGGAATAAGTTCTTCCTAAACTTCACTATTTCGAATAGAATTCCCTTATTCTGAATTGCTTGGGAAACAGCTGTTGTGGGAACAACTAAAAATTTAAATTTATTTTGTTGAACTTAGGCAACAATTGCCTAAGACAATTGCGCATCATAGTTGATATCAATTTCAAAATTGTATTATTTGTCTGCAGCACAGAATATCAGAAATAATACAATGAATAGTTTATAAGTAAATAATTAAATTTAATTGATTTTTTTTTAAATATGTACAAAATTATTTTTTTTCTTAAAAACAAAGTAATAAATCTTATTTATTAATTGGAATTATTAATGTATTGAGGTTTGAGTTCCTCTGTTTCCAAAAGTCATAAATATTTTAATAATTAGAATAAAAATATCCTTCAATTAATAAACTGTAATAATAGCTTAGAATGTGCGTAGATGTTCTAAGAAAAAAATATAGCTTGAATACCCTGTTGTGCCTAAGACTTACGTTAATGGTTAATTTAACAAGTCATTAGGGGTATTCAGGAAACTGACCCAAAATGCGTAATCTGATTAGTTTGTTATGTGCAAATGCTTTGGCAGCACTCGTATCAACAGCAAAAGCGAAACATATGTTAACAGTAAAATACTCAAATATTCGTAAATTTTAATATCATTTAAATTTATCATATAATTTATCTTATCATATCATATAACTAAAATTGCAAACGTGTCATATCAAGAAGTAGAATATTTAATTTTATACTTTATATTTTATATATATGTTATATTTTATCCCTTCAAAAATTATAGTTTTACTGAATTTCATCTATTAATTTATGTTATTATTTTTGCATTTTATTTTTGAGACACCCTATGATCATAGTGCCGATACTTGGCACTGGCAGCAGTAATAATCAAATTTTCACTAATCTGAGAATCTCCGAAATAGATTCTCTGCTTAGTTTCTTTTTTGTATGCAAATTTTTGTTGTAATCATCTACTAAACAACTAATCAGTTGCCTGAATACCCCTATTGTATTGCGGATAAAACAAATGTGACATAATTTATTGAATGCACTTTTGTTGAACTGTCGTTAGTTTTGATTATGTTACATTTCTAAAAGCACTAGACTCATGCAGTTATAAATATGCATTTGTAACATAATGCGCGAGTCAAATGATAAAGCATGTGTGGCCGTTGCACTAACGCGATCCAAATTCATTAGCAGTGGCGTCCCTAGGCGTCAGCGATGTCGGCGACCGCCGACGGCCTCGCGCCCACAGGGGCCTCGCAAAAAGTTACCGACTGTGGATTCTAAGCACTTAATAAATATTTTGAACAATTTGGTTTGATGATGGCATTAACCATATTCGAAGTATTCCCGAATGTTTAACATATATAGTAACCAGATTCATGTTCACAGTTCCAGTCAGTATAGCTTCGACAGAAAGAAGCTTCTCAAAGTTAAAATTGATTAAGAGGTACTAGAAAAGTATGATGATCCAAGAGAGACTATCTCCATTGGAAATTCTATAAACTGAAACAAAAATAGCAGCTGGAGCAAATTATGATATAATTTAAAAAAAAATTGAGTGAGGCTAAAAGTAGGAAAACTCATTTATTTTAATTTGTGTTTATTTTAATTTGATTAGCAATAAAACTTTCAACAATATAACTTGAAAGTTTACGACGGGGTTATAAAGGGGGCCTCGCAATTCTGACGTCGTCGACGCGCAGATTTGGTCTAGCTCCGCCGCTGTTCTTTAGAGAGGGGTAATACAAATATTATAAGTATTTAAATATGAAACTTAATTATTAAATAGATAAACATTTCTTACTATGAATATGTTAGAATAGTAATGAATTATTTTATATACTATAATATTAATGATAAGGGAGTAACCCCCGTATTGATTGGTTATTTCTAGTATATAAGAAATATGAAACATTGTTAGTACATAAGTTTTAAACGGTATAAATACCGGAATACTTTACTGAATAAAACAGATATTCATCACAAGATTCAAAGAACACACTTGTTTTCTTTGAAGTTAAGTCTCACGTTCTGTACGTTATAATAGTTGAAGAGAACACTATCCTATACGGCATCACTGCTGAAAGGATGGCATAAGCTGATAGAGAGCTGAGAATACTGAAATTCCTGTGTTGTAATTGATGTTTTCTGTAACTACACCTTTATTACTGTTAATACTAAACAATGAATTAAAATCCTGTGATTTACTTCTCAATTACAAACTATACATTTTTTATTTTAAATTTGTTTTTTTAGATTACTACAACTTCTGTGAAATTCATTTCTTGTATTGTAACGACCACTTTTCAGTCGTTATGTTTTGCTGAGGTATGCAAAGCGGCTGTCCAGGTTCGTTAACAATAGAATTTATGTTCGCTGAGACTAAACAAAAAAATGCCGTAGACTTGATATATTTTTTTAATACTTTATTTAATTATTCGAAACAAAAACAATTACAATAGTTATAATTTAGATAAACAAAATATTATTTCCAAGGATCGGAAAAATTTATGATTTCCGCGCGTGACTATTTCGTAGGGGTGGACTTATGTCACCTCAGTATATGAATTATATATAAGATCACTTGCTGTCAAAGATGACGATGTTTCAGCGACTGGCTCTGGCTTATCTGTTACGAAGACTCCTGCCTTTGTGCTAAGGGATATAATAGTTTGGCTGAATGAGCCAGGTTAGAAAGTAAAAAAGAAAGAAAATCAATAAAAACAAGTGATCGAATAGACCAGTAGGATATCCTGATTTGATCGATCGGACCAGTTTAGGCTGATTAAGCCTGTAAGCTAATATTGATCGAATTGACCAGTTGATTATCCTGATTTGATCAAACTGACCAGGTTAGGCTGATTAAGCCTGTAAACTAATATTGATCGAATTGACCAGTTGATTATCCTGATTTGATCAAACTGACCAGGTTAGGCTGATTAAGCCTGTAAACTAATATTGATCGAATTGACCAGTTGGTTATCCTGATTTGATCGAATTGACCAGTTTAATCTGAATAAGCCTGTGAGTTAATATTGATCGAATTGACCAGTTGAACTTGTTTATCGTTTGATATCCAAGAGACAAGTTGCTCGTTCTATGAAATTCGCGTTCTTATATACTGGTTTGACCGGAGCTTTTCGGTGTAGCGTACCGGTAAACTTCGTTGTTCGTGTTGACTTTTTGTGCTTTTCGTGCCTTTCTTGTGTATTTTGTGTATTGTCGTGTACTTCGTGTTATTTGCATTTTTGCACACTTTGTTTTCTTCGCCTGCCTTTGTTTTCGCCGCGATTACGTTATGTTTACTTCGCGTTTCCATTTTTTTTAAACAAAATATGAAAATATATTTATAATAAAATTAAATATTAAGACAATATGTGCCAAAATATAAGTGAGTGTTTTAATAAAATGTGGTAACAGAATTTTAACGCTGCTGCGTAAAATCAGTGCCGATGTAATTGGAATTGTAGCTTGTTTTCTCTATTTTGTTTTTATGTTGTAAAAAAAAATGTAAACAATGAGTGTTTTTCAATGTTGGTAATTCATGTTTATTAATTCAATATATAGAATGTGTTTTATTGTTTAATAAATGTTTCATGTATGTCTTATATTATAATTTGTAACTAAAATTCATTTGTTTTATTCTTTACATATTTCAAGTTGTATTTTTTTTAGTTTTATTACTTTTCTTTTTATTTTCTTCAGGTCAAGTCATGCCTGCGGCTCGTTGACGCATGGAATGCAGGTAATGATGTTACATTCTGATCTTGAGAATATTTGAATAAGATTTGTACTTATGTATGGTTGAAATTACTTTGTAGTAATTTCAACCTTTACAGTATGTGTACTGTATTATCACCGCACCTGTATTATTATACTTCAACTAACTTAAACGTATTACATGGATATCCTGCACCTGCCGGACCGAAGCAATCTCTGAAGCAGTAATCCTGAAAAGTCCTACAAAATTGATACCATGCTCTTAGGTTCAGAACAGCAAGAAAAATCAACCGGCTTACCAGTATGTCGTTTCCTGCCACTTGGAAATTTGGAACGCGGACATTTAAGAGGTTTCGAAGATCTAAACGAGACAGTATTGTGTAGAATTCTTCAAAGAACAACAGGAACGACTAATAATAGTAGAATAACTTGAAGAATTAAAAAGAATAAAGAAAAATACAAGAACGCTATACGAATTCTGCCGATGAATGTCACAACAGGAATTCGACAGGCATAGAGAGGATCTGTTACTAAGGAGCCAGTGCAACTTAAAGGCTTGGAGCTTCATTTGTATTTTTCTGGCTTCAATGTGCTTGCGCCAAGTTAGTCGCCTGTCTAGATGAATACCTAAATACGTTATATTATCTGCTAATGCTATTTACTGAAATTGTTGGAGATGTACTACGATTTAAAATAAAAATGACTTGTTTACATTTTAGTTCATTAATTTTAATTCGCCATTTTGACAACCATTTCTCCATTCGAAATAAGTGAGATTGAAGTTGGTTTGAAGCTAAGATAGGGTCCAGTACACTTCCCTGTGGTACGCCAGCTTCTATTGGAAAGTTATTATAAGTAAATTAATTGCATTTGACTTTAAAGCTTCTCTTCTGTAGATACGATTCTAAAA